TGAATGGGTTGTGTCCACCTGACAACAAAACTCTCAGATAAGGTTATTGTTTGAATTGCCACTGCCTGCTGTTACTGTAGACCAATTCTGTAGCCCTAAATGTCCAATAATTTACTGCATCTGTAAATTACTTTTGAACTAAGGCAGTTACATTTTAGAGAGTTGAAAGTTTAGGAAATGACAATATTTACCCATAGCACTCTTCTTCCTTCTAGTTACAAGCACTATATTCCAGAAACTTTGAACAAGACCATCAGACAGAGGAATTTCTTGACCAGAATTCGGATAAATAATGTCTTCAAGGATTTCCTTAAGGAGTTCAACAATAAAACCATTTGTGACACTAACGTGTCTCCACATGATCTGAAAGTTAAATATTTGTCAACAATGGAGACCTTGACTAAACATTATGGAGCGGAAATCTTTGAGACTTCATCTTTGCTGATTTCATCCGAGAATGAAATAAATAAGTTTAATTGTGGAGACAATGAGATCCTCCCGCAGTATGAAGTGATCATAACAGGAAACAATGGAATTCAGTGGCGGCTCAAGCCAAATGTAAGTATCCCTGTGTAATTTGGAATTCAAGGATAACTTTGGGGGATCTGAAAGCTCTTATAAAATGTATATAACCTTTAGAAGCTGTGGCTTAGCTTTTCTGTAAGAAGGTTTCTTTCATGGGATTATAGGATCACTCAGGTTGGAGGTTTCCTCTGGAGCCTGTAGTCCAACACCCTGCTCACAGCTGGGCAAACTGTAGGGTCAGAGCAGGTGGCTCAGGGCTTGATCCAGCCATGGCTTGAAAAACCACCAAGGATGGAAATGGCAAAACCTCTGTGGGCAGCTTGTTCCGCTGCTTCGTTGTCCTCATGGGGAAAATGTTCTTTCTTCAATCACTTTTGAGCCTCTGCTCTTTCAATTCATGCCCATTTTCTCTCATCCACCTACCCTACACAGCTGGAAAGAGTCTGGTTCTGTCTCCTCAATAAAGCCCCTTCAGAACTGGTGGCTGCTGTTAGGTTTCTCCTGAAGCCATCTCTTCTCCAGGCTGAACAGTTATCCTTTGTGATTGAAGTGGGACAGTTTAACCTTGGTAACCTTAAGTTATCCTTTACATCTGTAAACATTCCAAGTTTTGGTGTTAAGCAACACTTACAGGAGCGGGCCAGACAGCCGCTCTGTGGTTTGAGCAGCTGATAGCTTTGGGCAAAGGGCAAGATGACAGTACTTCAGAAGGTAACTTCTTAAAACCATCTATTTGGCTGATAAAGCCCTTGTCACCTGCTTCTGTGAGCACAAAAAAAAATGGCCAGGAAAGACAAAGACTGTCCTGCCTTTGCCAACCCAGATACAAGTCTTGAAAGATCAACTTCTGTGCAAACCCTCAGGATTTGGTGCTCTGTTGTGATATCAGGCAATTTTATTTTTTTGTATTTGGTAACCCCATATTCCACATTAGCTCATGCTGATAGACATTTCATGAATTAAATTATATTACAGTGACACTGCAGGAGACTTTCTTATATCAGTAATGCTTCATACACTGTTCTCCATTTCAGCCCTCCTGAGGTCACTTTGCTTAACCACTTCAGTAGTGTGTGTACATGACCACTGAGTAGGCTTTAGGGTGGGAGAGAACACACAGATTTCTCAACTTGTAATACATGAACAGATTGACCTCTTTTGGCTTCCCGCAGGGCTGAAAAACTTACTGATTCTGATCTTTTGTACAGAAAGTGCTGTGCTTCACTCTGTTTAGACACAATTAATGACCTCTGTCTCTGATGGAGAATTTCCAGTTAATATTATAATATTAATGGAGGAGAAGGGAAAGAACTTATATTTGAGAAAAAAGCTTGTAAGAAATGCAGCTTGGTTCTTGCAGCCTCATAAAATTCTTCCTCTACTGATTTATAGACCATGTTTAAACCTAACCAAACACTTCTGTCTCAGGGAGGATCTTTCCATGGATAGCAAGAGGCTTTGCTCAGGCCTGCAATTCACATCCTTTAGGTGATTTAATGGGTTGGTAGTAGTTGCCCCAAAGTTTTTTTGTGTGTGAAGTGCCCAGCTTTGCTGTGGGCTGCAGAGCTGCACGTGCTGCAGCACGATGGGGCTCCTGCTCTTGAGCTGAGGCCTGAAAGGTTCTCTCTGACACATACTTAGGAATATTATTATCGAAAGGAAAAAAAGACTGAAAGGGCTAGTTTGAAATTTCCCATCATATGGGTAGAAGTAAGCTGCCTAGCTAAAGATTGCACAGTGGTTGCTGACAAAACTTTATATAAATTATAAGATTCCTTTGCTCTCAAACCTCTCCTTCAGCCTCAAGACAACTGCAATATAGGCACACCAAGCAGGTGTTTAATTCAGTGCAAAAGGTGTAGAAATTAGACACCTGTGGAAGATTATTCTATCTTGAGATCGTTTTACAGTAAAAATACTGTGCTAAAAGCATGTGTTTTTTGTTAATATACTTTCATCCCAAATATATTTTCAGCCTGCACAGACAGAGAGGGAGAAACACAAGACGAAAAGGAGAAAATCAGATGGCAAAAGTAAAAAAGAGGAAGAAAAACACAAAATTCAAGATTTGTGGAACAATTTTTCCTATTTTCCTGAAATCACCCACATTGTCATCAAGGACTCCACCGTTAGCATTAACAAGCAGGATAACAAAAGGATGGTAAGAACCAAGCAGGGGTAGGTTTCCCTCCTGCAGGAAGAAGCTGCAGTGATGACACAGAGCTGTTGGGCAACGTGTGACGAACACTTTGAGAAGCATTTGCTAATAACAGATAAGTGTGCTGACCTCAGTGTACCAATGCAAAAGAGCTAGTTAGAAGAGAAACCATTCAACAAGCACAGGACTTCCTCCACCCTTCTTACTGCACACTGCTGGTGTTCATCAACTTCTTCTCCCTCTGAAGCCCCAAACTTAAGCAGGCTCCTTGTCAGGTTTCCCAGCCAGTGGCCTTCCTGTGTGCATCTTGGATGGCCAAAATCAGCTTCAGGAAGGAGAAATTCAGAAGGGATGACAGAGGGAGAGAACACAAGTGTGGAGAGAATCTGAGCAGAAAGTTGGTTTATAGATACCCAATATTCATGTCCTGTCTGCTCCCTTTTGCTGGGGGCTGCAGCTGTTAGAATTTAAAAAGGAGCCCCCAAAGTTGCTTTGGCTTCAAATCCAGCTCGTGTTGTTTTACAAAGGTCAGCATGAGAGATCCAGCTCTCATGTAGGATCACAGCAGACCTCACATCCTGTTTGGTAATTAAAGTTTCTAGCTAGTAAAGCAGCGGGGAGAGGGAGGGGATGGAGGGGAAGAAACATACACAGCATATTCCCAGAGTATACAATTTTTTAAGCCATCCCCTGCAAAAAAAAAAAAAAGATAAAAATGAGAACATACAAGTTGGGTTGTAATGTTTTAACAAAGTTTTGTGTTTTTGTTTTTTAACTAAAATATCTTTTTCTATAGGAATTAAAACTGTCCTCACATGATGAGGCCCTGTCGTTTGCATCTTTGATAGACGGCTATTTCAGACTTACAGCAGATGCCCACCATTATCTGTGCACAGATGTGGCTCCCCCCCTGATTGAGCACAACATAAAGAACGGATGCCATGGACCCATTTGGTTAGTAAAATGGTTTGGTTTTAGTTTTCCCGCTCAATTTGTCCTTACAGTTCTGTTGCATGTTGAATCCATTGAGGAAATTTAACATTTTTGGTTCAAGGAGGCTTCCATACTGCCCAGGATAAGTTACCAAGGGGTTGTAGGACAACATAAATACCATCAACCAAGGCACCTGGCCATAGTGGGTTTCATTTTTATGATTCCAAGCTAAATCCTTCCCCCATGCTTATATGAACACTTAATTAGACGAAGTTTGGTGAAAAAGGAAAAGCTCCTTTACCTATGGAGAAATGGAGAGCTGCATTTTCAGCAGCACTGACTGTACTCCTGTTGCCTGCAGCAGAAGGACAACAAAGCTCTCAGCCTCCAGATAGACCAAACCAAGACAACTTAGAGCATTAAAAATAAAAAACCCCCCAACTTTCACTAGCAGCATCTTTGTTGTACTGCTGCATTCCTAACAGGTTGCAGTCATTTTGTTTTCATAATTGTGCCGGCCATTACAAATGGCATGTATGACGTGTGTGTATTTCAAACAAATCATGTTTTAGTAATAGTATAACAGTATAAATAATAGTGTAAGTATTTCTGAGTTGCCATAGTACCTTGCTTTTGTGGATTTTATTACTAGTTTTAGAATGCACGTGCTCATTTGTCAGTTTTCCTCATTTATGCATTAATTCTTTCAGTACGGAGTACGCCATCAACAAGCTGCG